GAGATCAGAGATCCGGAAATAGTCAGTGAAGGAGAATGCAGTATGGTGGGCATGGTTCTTTTTAACCAATGTGAAGGTTCTTGTCCGTGAATGCACAGTCTGGTATGGTTCTACTAGATCGTAGTCCATTATCAGCTTTTGGATGGGCAGCGCTGTGTAAGCTGACTAGCTGAAGACGTAGATATACGATCCGTGGCGGGGTCTATAGTTGCGTTCCAATCATTGGCCTAAATGCAAGCTGACAAAGGGGGGATCAGATCACCAATGTTTGTTATAAAAGTTGATCTGTCAGATGGCCAATGTTTGGTGAGTAGACGTTGATTACTCTGAACTCTTCCTCCTTCCACTTTACATGCATACGGCACCATCTTCCGTCCACCGTGTCCGCCTCTTTGCCCACTGTCGACCCTGTCGTGCATAGGCGGGATGATTTGGGTATAAGGATGGTTATTCCTTTCGTGCTCGATGTATTATCTGAGCACCATATTCCACCTTTCATTCCTCCCAGTTTACTTGATAAGAGTTTTCAAATTTTGTTGTGTTCTGCTGAGAAGGTGAGGTGAGTTGACTATCCCTTGTGTCTTCCAGTCCACCCGGTCTTCCTTTGGGTTTGCCCCCTTCCTAAAAATCTCCATCATTGAGTTTAGGGCGAAGAGGCAGGCGAACAATCATAGGGGTAGACAGCCTAGGAGGGGGCAATCGCTCGCATCCATCTTTGTTGATGCATCACCCAGCCGGTCTTAATGCGCCATGGTGAGAGAATCATCTAGCTTATATTCCCTCGCACTTCCATTGGTTCCCCGTCCCGTGAGAAGGGCCGGTTCTGAGCCTACTCCCTTGTCCTCATCTTGCCACTCCTCCCATCGCTCTCATAGCAATCGCTTCTGTATCTGTCCAGATCTATGGTGAACGTCGTCAAGTCCAGATCACTGTCTCCCTTTAGAATCCCAGAAGTCGAGAGGTGTGCCACCGAGACCGCCAGCAGTTCCACTGGAATGCCGGGTCCTGCCATCACGCTGTATGGAATCGCGGTCACAGTTCTCCATGGCCTCCACATCATCCCACTCTTCAACTTGGTTTCATCTCACAGTTTTGCAATCAGAAGGCAACTGATTGGGAGTATCTGTCCTTCTGACCATCAACCAGATTGGGAGTATCTGTCCTTCTGACCATCAACCAGAGCAACTGTTTCGTACACGCCCGGTGGGTACCCCTCTGTTACCTTTTCTTGAAGAACATTGGCAACATTCTGTCCTTCCTCGAATCTTGGGGTTGTGAAGGACACATCTGTGGCGATCTGCCATTCTCCCTCTTTCTCAACGAACCTGGTGGCAATCGGCGGGCAGGTGTCCATCAATGTCAGTAGTGCTGATTTGGCGGAGGCCACTATGTGTCGTGAACTCTGGTGTGTACTCTGCATTTCACTTTATTATTTTTTTTGTTTGGCTCACAACCACAGCCACTTCTTTTTCTGAAAGTGAGCGAGCTTATTCCTCTTCTGCCTCTGTTTGATTTGAATTTGGTTCCTTTTTCCGCTTTTCCCTAGGTTACCAGCTTGGACGTCCAAGACCCTTGTCTATTCCGGGTTGTCCGATTGGACAACTCCCCCGGCTGTTCGAGCGGGGCCCAGTGTTCGGGGTGGTGGAAAAATCGCATGTGGGTCCAACGGGGTTTTCGGCCCTGTGGTGATGTTTTTTTGGGATGTAGTACCCCCCTTCCTTCTGCCCAATTTTAGTGACGCCGGTAGGGCCTCCAAAAACAAGACCGAAAAAGGCCCGGTCTGGGCCGTCAGATCTATGAGATCTACGGCCCAGATCGGGCCAAATTCAAATTGAAACCAGCACTCGACACCCTCCTTCCCCTCCCCCTCCCAGTTTTCTTCTTCTTCTTCTTCCTCCTCCTCCTCGTCCAAAAGGTCCCCTGCAAATATTTAGCAGGGTTTCCATGCTTCTGGAAAGATGATCATTGGACTGATGGAAGTCTTCGAGCAGGCCCGCAATATATCCCGGATTTGGATTCAGGTCTGTGTTCCAAGAGTTATGGGTTAGGAGTTTTACTACAAACACAACAGTAGCTGTCTATTTATTTATTTTTTCCTTTTCTTGCGTGCAGTGGCCCTAAGGGCCTGGCTCCACTCATCAGCACTCGCAGAAAAGAAAAACGGATGGCCTGTAGGGTTCCAGTTTCTAGGAGAAGATTCATTCCAGTTTTGCACATACAGTAGCTGCCTCGTTTTTTTTTTCCCCCTTTTCTTACGTGCAGTGGCCCCAAGGGTTTGACTCCACTCATCAGCACTTGCAGAAAAGAAAAACGGATGGCTGTATGGTTCCAGTTCTTAGGAGAAGATTCATTCTAGTTTTGCACATACAGTAGCTGTCTCTTCTTTTGTTTTCCCTGTTCTTACCTGCAATGGCCCTAAGGGCCTGGCTCCACTCATCTGCACTGGCAGAAAAGAAAAACGGATGGCTTGTATGGTTGCAGTTTTTAGGATAAGATTCATTCTAGTTTTTGTTTTTCCTTTTCTTATGTGCAGTGGCCCTAACGGCCTCCCTCCACTCATCAGCACTTGTAGAGAAGAAAAACCTATGGCTTGTATGGTTCCAGTTTCTAGGAGAAGATTCATTCTAGTTTTGCACATTTGGCCAGTTGTGGAGTGAAGCCCTAAAAATCAGATGCCAAGTTAGTAAGTCAGTAACCCATAACTGTTGATACATGGACCTGAATTTGAAGCTACACCATATATAACTGGCCTGCTCTCTCCTTGCTACAAGTCTAGTGATGACCCGTCCATTGACCACCGATCTACTGCCGACAGGACCCTTGCCAATTTTTGGTAGGGGTAGTCTGAATAATGTGAAAGGGCTTTGTGTTCTCTCTCTCTCTCTCTCTCTCTCTCTCTGTGCAGCTTGTATACACACATCACGGTTGTTTCTTTTTTT